GGGATGAGATGACAGGTGGGCATTCCACACCCCGCCACAGGGAAAGTGCCAGGCCAGGCAGCAGGTGCCACGAATGTCCTACACAGCATCTTTGTCGGAACCTCAGCTATTGAGTCGGAGAGCGGCTTTTCCTGAAAACTTTACGCAGTGTGTTCGTTGCCAACTGGCTTGGGTTGCATCTGCACATTAAAATGCAAACAAAGCAAAGCACAAAGAAAAACAAACCAAGTTTTTTGGTTTTTTTTTTGTTTTTTTTTTTTAAGGTAGGGTCACCCTGGCTGGAGTTCAGTGATGCAATCCCGGCTCACTACAACCTCTGCTTCCCAGGTTCAAGTGACTCTCACGCCTCAGCCTCCTGAGTAGCTAGGACTACAGGCATGCATCACCATATCCGGCTAATTTTTGTATTTTTAGTAGAGATGAGGTTTCCCCATGTTGGCCAGGCTGGTCTTGAACTCCTGGCCTCAAGTGATCCACCTGCCTCAGCTTCCCAGAGTGTTGGGATTACAGGTGTGAGCCACCGCACCCAGCCAAGATCCTTAAATGTACAATTATATGCTGACAGGTGATCAAATAGGCATGCTTCTCCCCGCAAACCAACCAAGGTTCAAAGCAGAAGCCAACACGCCAACGTGCCAGGCACTTTGTTTGCCAGGCACTGAAATGTGACTTCACTTAGCGGACTTTTCAAATTTGCCTCTGTGGAAAACAAAACATCCTGCAACCCAGCCAGGCGCGGTGGCTCACGCCTGTAACTCCAGCACTTTGGGAGGCCGAGACGGGTGGATCACTTGAGGTCAGGAGTTCAAGACCAGCCTGGCCAACATGGTGAAACCCCATCTCTACGAAAAATACAAAGTTAGCCAGGTGTGGCGGGCCCCTATAATACCAGCTACTCAGGAGGCTGAGGCAGGAGAACTGCTTGAAGCCAGGAGGCGGAGGCTGCAGTGAGCTGAGATCGAGTGACTGCACTTGAGCCTGGGTGACAGAGCAAGACTCCGTCTCAAAAAATAAATTAGGCCAGGCTCGGTGGCTCATGCCTGTAATCCCAGCACTTTGGGAAGCCGAGGCAGGTGGATCATGAGGTCAGGAGTTCGAGACCAGCCTGGCCAATGTGGTGAAACCCTGTCTCTCCAAAAAAAAAATACAAAAATTACCCAGGCGTGGTAGCGTGCACCTGTAATCCCAGCTACTTGGGAGGTTAAGGCAGGAGAATCACTTGAAACCAGAAGGCAGAAGTTGCTTGCAGTGAGCCGAGATTGCGCCATTGCACTCCAGCCTGGGCGAAAGAGTGAAATTCTGTATCAAAAATAATAATATTAATTAAATAAAATAAAAGATCCTGAAACCCAGTTAATCATAAGAGCCATCCCCACGGGTCCAGAAAGCCAAAAGTGGCTGGACCTTGGGCTCGGCAGAGGCTGCTGACTCCTGGGAGACTCCACTGACATCTTCCTCCCACAGGGACGGAGGAGTCAGCAACTTGCTGGCAGAATTGCTAAAAAAGAGAACCCAAAGGACAGGTTCCTGACAGGCCAGCAGGAAATAAGAACAGCTTCATAATACATGGAAAAAGTCAGTCAGGGGATGTGGGATGACAGCCCTGATAAGCTGACCCCAGCTGTGTGTGGAAAGACAAGAAAATGACTGACTGATGGGGATGAGATAGCAAGCAATCAGTGTGGGATTGTGAAGAATTAATCATGCTGGGCAAACTTAATTTAGTTCTGACGCTTGGTTCGATGTAGAAGAGTCAAGAATGAAGACAACTCAATCCAAGCCCGCTGGTTATTTGTAACACTCATACAGAAATTACTAGATATGTTGGCTGGGCACGGTGGCTCACACCCACAATCCCAGCACTTTGGGAGGCTGAGGCAGGCAGATCACAAAGTCAGGAGTTCGAGACCAGCCTGGCCAATGTGGTGAAACCCCATCTCTACTAAAGATACAAAAATTAGCCAGGCGTGGTGGCGGGCACCTGTAGTCCCAGCTACTCAGGAGGCAGAGGCAGGAGAATCACTTGAACCCAGGAGGCGGAGGTTGCAGTGAGCCGAGATTGCACAATATACTCCTGCCTGGGCGACAGAGTGAGACTCTGTCTCAAAAAAAAAAAAAAAATACTAGATTATGTTAACAGCAGTTAAGAGAGGCAAGAACTAAAGTCTGAAAATTTATTTCCTCAGTGCTTAAGAGCATTCCAAGAATTTTGGCCGTGCGCAGTGGCTCACGCCTGTAATCCAAGCACTTTGGGAGGCCAAGGTCGGTGGATCACCTGAGGTCTGGAGTTTGAGACCAGCCTGACCAACATGGTGAAACCCTGTTTTGTATTTTGTCTCTACTAAAATACAAAACTAGCCAGGCGTGGTGGCAGGTGCCTGTAATCCCAGCTACTCGGGAGGCTGAGGCAAGAGAATCGCTTGAACCCAGGAGGTGGAGGTGTAGTGAGCCGAGATCACACTCCAGCCTGGGCAACAAGAGCAAAACTCCATCTCAAAAAACAAAATAACAAAAAGAGCATTCCAAAAATGTAAATGTGAAGCAAAACCTAGCACTCCGGGGTACTCTTCTACAACGGGAATTACACCCTTGCCCAAGGCCCCTGGCTGCCCACTGTACTCAAGCACAGCTGCTGCCTTTCTCACAGTACCCTCCCCTGACCCTATCCCTCTCCCCTGCTCCAGCAGTCAGATCACTACAGTCCACCCTCTGGCCACAACTCATTTACAATCCTCCAAAACCAAGATATGCTCATCCCCTGCCAAGGCCTCCAAGTTTCACCCCACCACAGCATCAACCCAAAGCCCAGAATCTCATCTGAATCTGCTCCCTTGTGGAGGAGGCTCCTGACAGCTCCTGTGTTGAGCCCTTTTCCATGTAAAGACTGTCCCTGGCCCCCACCACACACACACCCCCACCCAATGAACAGTGGGGACAGACCTAGGACACCTGCTGCAGATACACACACACACACACACACACACACACACACACACACACACAAAAC